CCTTTCTACAACGCCATAAAAATGGATAGATGCCCGGCTGAGAATTTCAGCAATGTGCCCGTCAGACCTGTTAGAATGTCTAATCTTGCCCTGTGCCTCATTTGACCTTTGAACATGATCTAAATTTCAGCCACAAGGAGTGTGCTTTTCTACATAGATGCTAAATCACCACTTCCAGCCCTAGGTCCACAACGCACGTCTTAGATTACTGCCGGCAATTTCTGCATTTCCTCCTTACATTTAAAACGCACTTAGAGGAATGTTTGCCCCTTCTTATTCTACTTGACTTTAGTTGTGCGAAGCTTCCGAATACTGTTTTGATCATTCGCCCAGCGTCCGAATATTCGTGAACGGACTCGAGCGACGGTTAAGATGTTGTGGCCAAGCTGTTCGACGGACGGACGGCCGGGACGGACAATCATGCGATTCTACAAGCTGCACCTGACTACGTCAGATGAGCTAATAATTAACCAAGTAGAATCATCAGAAGTTTAGTTAGTAACTGGGATCTTAATTTCCATAGAATATGACATGTTAGTATTGTTCCACTCACTATTCAGCAGATTGGTCCACTGAGAAATTCTCATGTTTCCAAATGAGATCCAGATACTTTGTTGACGATACCTTCACCTTTGTTGAAACATAAACTAAGAGCTGAAATACAAATGCCCGTTTCATATTATATTATATAATGTTATATTCAGCATAATGGTCTATTAAGAAATTATCGCACTTCAATATGAGACTCAGAAGTTTTCTTGTTGACACCTTAACTCACCCAACCTCATTGCAGATAAATCAAATTTTTCATTTTATTTTTAAGCTGTATTCATACACTAATTAACATTAACTCTCTGTAAATAATATCCATATCCTGGACCGCCTAGCGAAAGTTTTCTAACACTATTATAAAAAATAAGATAACTTTGACGAGTACAAATGACGATGCATTTACACTATTAGAAGTAAACGATAAATAGATCTCTGTTTATCATGTATTTCGGATAGTATCTTGTAAATTGTTAGATGGTAAAACTTCCAAAGAACATGATACGATAATATCATAATAATACAATATTATTTTACACTCCTGATAATCACTTTAAAAAAAATGTACCTGCAATTTGGGATTGCGTAGCAAATATGGCTTCACACATCTTGCCTGGCCACCTTGTTGGCATGCCGCTGGAAAGAACAGTTGGTACATCGTCCACGTCGTGTGAGACAGATATGCGATGAAAAGCCCAGACAGGACTACACTAAGCGATGGCCACCTCATGGTCTAGCTAAAATCAGAAGAATTCACATACAGTATTGTAAAACAAAGTTATAATGGTAATTACAGTGATGAAAGGGTTAAAACTGTTAATGGTTATGCATTAGTAGGTCTAATATATTTTAACCATGATATCAGAATATAGATGAATTATTTGTGATCGTTTATAATAACGTGACATATACAAGATATGCAAAATACAATCAAACCCAATAAGACCTTCTAATTTTGTATAGATGAGATCATATTATAACGATGTGTGCTTCCATCTTATATAATGAAGTAAAACCAATTGAAAAACACATGGATATGCTGTTAATTACTGGGAAATGGGTTTTGAATTAACCCAACCAGGGTGTGAGACTCACTACTTTAATGTAGAACAGTTTCTTGCAGTTATGGGCTGCAATGTGTCAAATTACATACTTGAGACAGTACAATGATATTGACGACCCAAAATAACATAGTAATAGTAACATAGTACCAGGAGTAGATAATAGAGAATTACAGCAATACGCTAGCAAAGATATATGTAAACGAATATCAGTACCATCTAGAGCTAATAATACCTAGAGCGTACAACGGAAAAACGGGAAAATGGTGCTATTTCACGACATGATTATTCTACTTTGCCTGCGAGTCTAGAATAATTTTATGGTATTGCATTAAGCAGAATTCTTTGCTCTCTAAAACAAGACCCACCACTTGTCAATACGATACTGGCTCCTAAACCTCCCCTCCCACATGCCTCAAGCCGCCTCGTACCCCGGTAGTCACCAACCTACACGCCCCTAAGCGTTGCTTCAAGAAAGTTCGGTTTTTCCCCCATAACTTTAATGATGAACGGCGTTTCGGTTATCATAGGTAACTTTTCGGGGGCATCGCTAATGGCCTTTATCTGCCCATTATCTTTCCTAGCCACGGTAATGCCGCGTCAAATGAATGGAGCTCGGCAATGATTTTCTTAATTAGTTTCTACAACGCAGCTCAGTTATCTTATATGGTGTAAGTAAGAGAAACACAAATTTGGCTAATGTGACTCAATTATTAGCACTCCAAAGCAGTGACGGAATCGATAACCAAATATGCTTAGGGGCGTGTAGGTTGGTGACTACCGGGTACGAGGCGGCTTGAGGGCATGTGAGGGAGGTTTAGAGCAAATATTCTCAGCCTAAGGTAGTATCCGTATTTGACAAGTTTGTTGTCCTTGTTTTTAGAAAGCAAAGAATTCGTGCATTATGCTAATACCATGAAAATTATTACTAGACTCCGCCAGGCAAAGTAGTAATAATCATGTCTGTGAAATAGCACCATTTTCTCGTTTTTCCGGTTGTACACTTCTAGGTATTATTAGGCTCTTTGGTACCATGAAGGCCAAGGCTTTAGATTTGAAAAGTACAGGAGGACACTAACCTAATGACTTCGCCTAGGACACCAATAGGGGGACTTTTCACCTCGCCATAATCACACCTCTTAAGAGGCATGATGAGAGCATCCACTAAAAAATCACACCCTTAAGAGGCGATGATGGCAGAGCTCCACTAAAAATCACACCTTTATAAGGATGATGGAGATGCGCATTAATATAAAGAAGCTCATGTAAAATCGGTGATTCGTTAATCCACAATCGAAACTTGTTTTATTTTATTCTGATTTCCATCATATAGAGAGTTCTATATCCACTGTACCTGCATAATTTCAGCGACAACAATATCATCACAATATCCATCAACAAGCACTAGCAACATTACCTTGTACGTAGTAGCCCGTTGGTAGCCCTCCAGCCCTACGACTGTTTTCACGTCGCAGAAAACCACTTCTCGCCACGTATAGTAGAAACGAGCAGGTAACTTTGTGCTACCGTAATAGGTACCTGTTATTTGGATGCTGTTGTTTAGTTGTATTTATATATATATATATAAACCAGAGGGTAGTAAACGCAGACCGTGTACCTGCTGCCAATACGTTCAGTCACTTACACAGTCCACAAATTGTTGTGTGTTTGCTAACCTTTTTGTACCCCCCTACATTGAGAACTCCTACGGAGGCTATTTCAACATAATAGACATACCTTTTTGGTGGCGGATTTCAACCACTTTTATGAGGCGCGATGAAATGCGCGCAACCAATGGCACAATTTCGGTGTGCGCGGGTGGAGCGCGCGAAAGCGGCGATCGCGACCTTAAAAATGAAAGCCTGTTGAGGTTGAGGTGATTAGTGGTCATGAATAAGCTGAGGAACGTATACACTTGCTCTTTATTGGTTGGCAAAATTTTGATGAGAAAAATCGGTTAAAAATGCGGGAATCGGGTGTTCACTCTTGTGTTATTATCTACTCTTGATAACATGCATACAAATATACTCAACTGATTTATTAGTAGTAACTCATAAAACACTTTCACTTTATAGAATAATTAGAGCAAACTAAATGCAAATAAAATATTTTTTTTAAATATTTTTTTATATCATACTTGAGCCAATTGTAACCGGCCGAAACAGCAGAGTAGACGGTCAATTCTACCGGTGGCCGGTTCCTAATGAGAACACTGGGTTTGTGCACAGCAGCGTGCATGCGGTGTACTTGTGTTGCAGAGGAGCATTTGAACGGCATTTACAGGAAGTTATCGGCAATAATAGGCGAAAGAGAGTAGAGAAACAGTAAGACTTTGGTAGTAAATACATTTCGTGTTTATTTACCTTTTTTATTGAGAAGTTCCAAGTGCATGTGCCGGTCATACACGACTAGAGAGGCCTCAGCCAAAGTCAATCGGTACAGTGTCAGAGGGCCCATACACCAGTGGCTATCAAACTTTCTAATGGACCGGACTATGAGAGTAGTACTTAATGGCGAAATGTCAGAGGAAGTACATGTGAAATCAGGAGTGCCCCAGGGCACAGTACTGGGCCCATTGCATTTCCTCTGTCACATAAACGACCTATCACTGAGTATAAACTCCCAATTATTTGTCCGTTTATTTGCCGATGATTGTCTTCTCTACCGCGCAATCAGAAACATCACAGACCACATAAAATTGCAGGACGACCTCACAACCTTGAAATGCTGGGCAAAAAACGGGGAGATGCAGTTCAATGCAAAGAAGTGTCATATCCTGAGCACTAGAAACAAGTCTCAGTATATGTACAGCCTCTGTGGCAAAATACTCAAGACCGTTCAGCTGGCCAATGACCTCAAATGGTACCACCACATCTCAAGCGCTATACCAAGAAAGCATCATCTACTGTCGGCTTCCTGGGGAGAAACTTACGGAGGTGTCCACAGCAAACCAAGCGTATTGCATATCTCAGCCTAGCGCGACCCATAATGGAGTATGGTGCAATAGTATGGGACCCATACCAGCGACAGGACATAGACCGACTAGAGAAGATAAAACACCGTGCAGCCCGCTTCATCACAGGGGACTACCACAGCAGAACTCCAGGCCGTGTTACAGACATGCTCTCGTCCCTACAGCTGGAAAGCCTCCAAAACCGCCGCCGTGATATGCGACTAACCTATCTCTACAGAATCGTCAGAGGGTTGGTACCAGCAATGCCCCCGTCAGATTTTCTACCACCAGTTCAAACCGGCAAAAGACGTGTGAGACCATCTAGAAGATACAACAAGGAGGAGTTCATCAGTGCTTCAATCAACGAACGTTCCATCCATCTGAACTGAAAAGGATTCAATGTACCAGCGTACAAAACTAACCAGTACAAGAATTCCTTCTTTGTCTGCACAGTAATAGAGTGGAACCACCTGGGTGACCACATAGTAACTGCGGACAGTGCTGAGCAATCTACATCTATGCTCAGCCAACATAAATTCTAAAATAATTAGCCCTCTCTCCCGATTCCCTTGCCTCGATGCCAAATTTGGATACTGCAACGTACTACAACAGACATATGCATCTAAACCGAGGAATTTCTCCGACTTGTGATTGGAATATAAAAATAGAATTCGTGACGTAACGTTTTCATTTTGGCATTTAGCCTTAGCCCGACCAGGCTGTGCGACCGATTGTCTATACAGCCTGACACCCTTCCATACAAAAAACCTATCACCTCTGCAGATCTAGATGAATAACTCTGTATATCTCAAATAATACTATTCTATTACCACCTTTGACTTAATTGTCTTGTTTGAAATATGAACATTAACTCACAGTTGTTCTGCTTCTAAACTAGAATGTATCTCTTCATTCATGGTATAATCTGCTAATTCTCACAGCATATCAACTTTCCAAGCAGCTTTCCACGATTGTTTACCCGCCATGTTTACACTGCGCATGCTAAACGAAAGAGAGACACGGAAAAGACTCGCTAGAAAATACTATAAAAATAGTACAATAGCCGCACGATGGCTCTTACGGCAATTACACACCAAAGCAAGTAGAACGATGTTCACAAATGTCTGGGCCATTTGTAAAAACCTTAGATGACATGTTCTTGGATGTAGGGGTGGTTTACATGAGGACCGCAGATCCTTTGCGGATTTTAGTCGCAGTCGGAATGATACAACATGGTGGCCAATTCATAAATTTGGTTGCATTCGTTTCAAAAAGTCGCTGTAGCCCCGTAAGTACCCAGCGCATCGTAGCGCACTGATGGTTACAAGGTGGATGTATGCCGATTCATTTGGTACCGGTATATCATAATAATGAAGTGTTAGGGTTAGGGTAATCTTTGGCGATACAGCGTGAGAAACTAGCGGTCGCCCAGTCGCCAGTGGCGATTAGAAAATCGACCGGGCAACTGCTTGCTCGTGTCAGCTGGTCTGGCGGGGTGACTAGATTATAGATAATCGCCGCACAGGAAATAAAAAATTTACCAAACTAATTATTTTGTTAAATATTCTCTACTAACCTTCTACATTATTCTAATGAAATGAATGGTAAATTTAATCAAATATAGACTAAAAATAGTCAAATTCCGAAGCCTAAAGTCTATGCGAAGTACACAAACCTGCCATATTTGTTATGTTCGATTTTCTAGGTCATGCTGTTAAACCGCTGCTAATTCGATAATACTGGGCATCCCTGACCAATCGGCGATCGCGTAATAAAATATGATAATTTATAGGAATAATAGCGGGCATCTTTGAAATCGACTTGCGGACTTGTTCCGATTTACTATGCATCAGTGTATCGAAACTGGTGTTGTCAATCGGTTGTAATTTCGTAATCGATCATCGGTTGGAACCAAGTAACCGATGATTGGTTACAATCGGTTACTCGGGGTGTTGAATGCCTGCGTGTGCGTAACGTCGTGCGCATGTACGTGTGTGCATGTATGTGCTTGTTTAGCCCCGTTTAATGTTTGTTTTGCACTGTTTACTACTGTGTGTATAATACATGTATGTTAATAAAGGATAACTTGTATAGTAGCGATGATATCTCTGATTTTTGTTGTTGTTCATTTAAAAAATAAAAAATAAATGTTTTTTTTTTTTATGAAATCGATTATGGATTTTGATAACCAAGCGCTTGGTTCGAGCCAATGTTCAACCGATGATCGAGTATAATCGATGATCATGACATCACTAATCGAAACGAGTAAAAAATATAATTTGCTGATAAAAAGAAACGAACATATATCTACACTATCAAGATACTGTCATATTATGTAACTGAATCAAATTGTGTATTAGTACATGAAGATGGCAGCACCATACAACAATGAAAATCATTATCACTATGATTATATTATATATTGTTGTTGTTTAAATGCCCTATTAGTATTATATATCGTATTCCATTTATTATTAAGAATACCTTAGAATGCTCATCACCAAATTGCACCATCCCCCTCTATAAAAACGTCCCCACATCCGAGTCATTCACTTTGCTACGACAGAAATCCTGGACCAGTGCCTACTGACCACTCGCAGCTAGGGCCTGCATACTTCCCAAAGTTATACTCGGTTGGGTTTTTAACACATTCTAACTCTAAAACTGTTACGTTAAAAATTCTTAAAATATTTACATAAACAGGCAAGACGGTTGTCATTTTGAATACAAAGTTTTATTTTTTAGCTATCGTAGAACTTTTATTTCAAAAGTTATATTAGCCGAAAGTTGCTACCTTGACTCGATTGCAACACTGGCTGGTCAAATATAGACAATATGGCGTGGGTGATCTAGCGGGCGTGGTAGCAACTTTCGGCTGATATAACTTTTGAAATAAACTACGATAGGAAATAAAACTTCGTATTCAAAATGACAACCGTCTTGCCTGTTTATGTAAATATTTTTGAGTTAGAATGTGTTAAAAACCCGACGAGTATAACTTTTGGAGGTATGCACACAGGCACCTATATCTAACACGATCCCCCAATGCGAGCACCGAAGGTGTGAGACAAACAACAACTCACAATGAACAAACAACGCCTTCAAGAACACCTCTGTTGATTTTAAAGGGGCTACCCCACATTTACGAATATGACATAGGTCTCAATCTGGACGGACTTGCGGCCGCGCCCCAACAGCGTATACGCCGCCCCCTTTTTGTCCCCTTAGACAGATACCTTAGACAGGGGTTTGAAAACGCACTGCGCAAAAACTGGGCGCAATCCAACCGACATTTCGGGATGGACGGCAGGAGGCCATCTCCAAACGGCCTCTAAACTTTTTTTGGGGTAGCGCGCCTCATGGCTAAGACGTAGTGGCTCTTACAAGAAAATGCAAGAAATGCTGTCAATCAGCGATGACGCACTCGCTCATTGGCCGCTACGCGATGACGGGCACTACTGCCGAGTATAGAGTTTTGTCTATCACAGAGCTTTTTACGAAGTGTCGTACGGCGCTCCACGTGGAGGGGCGCGGTCTAGAGGGGCGCGGTGCTATCTGCAAATGCGATGCCGCCGTTACGGCGCCTGGCTGCGTACGTGCCATGTTTTGAGCAACCTCCTGACCCCGCGCTGCCCGTGGCAACGGCACGTCGTGCGAGCACCTGCGCTGGCGTGGCCGTGCCAGTTTTTACACATAGCTAATCTGTAGATACTGGCAAAGCAGCCGCAGCAACAAATACTCGCCCCTGCCGTGCAGCGCGCAACAAGCAAGCAGCAGCAGCAAATACCCGCCGTAGCCGAGCCGGTGTAGGTGTGACGAAAACTGCGCAATGTTACGCTTCCCGCTATACGGATTCGCCAGCCGCCCTCCTTCGGCGCGCGAATTAGTATAGCGGGCAGCGCGAGATGCTACATACAACACACCGTGGTCGCCCAGTCCCGCGGAAGTGCGCGGTTTAACCGCTCTTGGCGGTCGGGGAACAACGCATCTTTTGCGCAACGCCATCTTGTACCCGGTCTCTCTGGACATCATCTCTATCCTTGAACCACGGTGGCCGCAGAACGGGGTTGCTATTTATCGAACCCCGACTAGCCCGTCGCAAGTGCCTGTGATTATGTCGTACCCAAACTTGGAATCTGCAAAATCTCGAGATTGTGCAGCGATTGTGCTCCCCAAACTGCGGATTCCCTAGTTTGGCTGACCAATCTCAAGATTGGGCAAACTGAAAATAGTCGGTGATTCAACAACTGCTCATAGCCAAGGCTCATACCTCACAGTCATAGCGAGTGTGTGGCGTGCGTGGTGCAAACTAGGAAGAGATTTATCTCATAATCATATTTATCCAATCATTTATTATAATTATTTAATATTTATACAAAGGTGCCAAACACATTGAGGAAAGAAGGTATACGACCTTATAGTTATGATATAACATTTGAAATCCTAATACTCATATGTGTGTGCAAGCCCTGTTTACCTCTGTTTGCCCAATCTCAAGATTGGTTGCCCAAACTGCAGATGCGCTGAAATTCCAAGTTTGTGCAAGATTCCAAGTTTGGGCACAACATTCAACAATTACAACAGTCTGAACAGAAACAGCTAGGCCTACCTAGTAATCTCGCGAACACGATATTGCATGAGATAACGTAAGTTTACCTGAATAAGCAATCAAACATTAATTATGTTGTTTCTTAAACAGCTAAAACATAGCTAAAACGAACACATATATATGAAATGTATATAAAAGTTAAAACGATGACACACGACCACCAGTAATCACTACCGGTTCATTAGCCGATTAGCCCACAGACTAACGGATACACAGACTGGACGCAACGCCAAAATAGTGTAATGCAATTGAATGGTGGCGCCGCCCAGCGAATGTAGCGGTACACTAAAAATCTGGCTGTGGTGACAGACCGTGGATGTGTAACGTTGCAACATTAAAACGTCTCTATCGTTAATTATAATACTTTTATTGGAGTTTAATTATACATTCCTG